ACACACACACACACACACACACACACACACACACACACACACACACACCATTGTTCTTTTCATGGGATTATGAAGGTACAGAATGTCAGAAACTGCTTAAGCCAATATCTGGTTTTATAGATAATAGAAATGATGCCTAAAGGGACCTACAGAATTGCCAGCATCACAGAGTCTAATGGCCCAGAGGAGAGAGGAGTTGGAGATGATTGTGGATTCTTTCTAGGTTCTTGCTTGTGGGTCAGGCTGAATTTCAAAGAACCCTGAGCATCTGGAAGCAAAAGGGGGAATTGTTAAGAGACCAGAACAGAAGACCTGACTGCTTCTACCTGGAGGTAGCCTGACCCAGGATGCCCAGGGCAGACTTACCCCGAATGGCTCACTGGCATGCCTGTGTTGCTCATGTGGATCTGGAGCCCCTAAGGTGCTGTATATACTTCGTAGTTATGGATGTTTTGATGTTATGAAAAATTGAAATTTTGATTCTATTAGACTACCAAAGAAAACCATTTTGGTCGTAGCAGGGCTCCAAAATAAATACTATTGTAGGCACAGTTTATTGCACAGTTATGGCTGCCTGTCAGTTGGAGCTATAGAGGGAAAAGCAGATCGGAATTAATTTAATCACTTAAAAACTCAGATGCTACTATCTAAGCAATCTGCAGTGCCTAGTAATGACATGAATGTCTTGTGGCCGCCAGCTCCAGAGCTCTGGAATTGGGAGGTCTCAGACCCGACTCCCTCATTTTATTAGGGAACTGTTTAGCTTCAGTATTGACTGTTAGTGGGAATCACATGGTGCTAACCCCACAGAACTGTCATTGTGAAGTTTGCATGAAACAAACTTTGCAAACAGCCTACGTCTTAGCAAACCTTAGCAAACATCACTGGGCCTGTGGAGTGGAAGACTCAGAAAACATCAGCTGACGCTTTGTTGGCACCAGATCTTTGATTTGGTTACCCGTTCACAAAGGAGTGGCTCAATTGCACTTCCAGCCATAATCCTTACTAGATGAACTCAGAGTGTGATGGAATTTTTATCAGATTATCATGTTATCATGACATTGACGCCAGGGCAATGCTTGGGCTTTAATCTGATTTAGGGCTAAGCAGAAAGTAAACACCATCATATAGCTGCTGGGTCAGGACTATAAAAGAGTAAATCTCATAACTGGGGCCATAAGCAAGTTTTCATGGTCTTAGTGAGCAGGCGGAGTTCTGTACCAAGTCCTCTTTCTCAAGTGGTATGTGGGCCTGGAGGGCTGTTTGGGCCCACACCATATGAGCATGGCTATATATAAGTGAATGCATATCTGACCACCTGAGAGAGCAGGGCACCTCACTTCACCATAATGGGTACTTATCCAGGTTAATGGAAAGGTAGGGATGGGAATGAAGGGGGAAAAGAATTTAGCAGGGCATGGTTCTGAGCTGTGCATCCTACACACCTATCCAGTGAACAAAGTGTTCTGTCTGCCTGTCTGCCTGTCTTTCTGTACCTGTGTGTATGTGAGCCCGTGTGTGTGTGTGTGTGTGTGTGTGTGTGTGTGTGTGTGTTGAGACAGGGCCTCTTTGTATCCTAACTAGAGAAATGTGTTCTTATCAGGGTATCAGACACACAGGGGTGTATCTCAGACTGGCTGAGCCAGGCAAGAATCTCACTGTCCACATCAGTGTCCAGGATAAGAAGCCTTGGAGGGGAGCTGTGGTTGTGGGAAAACTGGGATGAGGAAAGGATGATGAACTCGGTGCACATCTAAGAGCAGAGATGTGCTAGGGGACCAGAAAACAGTGCTTGTGCCCAGCAAAGAAGACCATGTGGCATCTACTCTCATTCTGGAATTCACTGCTGGAACCATGAGCCAAAATAAACTCTTCCTTTAAAAAAAAAAAGAAAGAAAAAGAAAAGAAAAAAATTGTAGTCAATGTCACTGATTCACAAGAGAATTCTCAAGGGCCAGAGTCAAGCTTTCTATCCTGGACACTTGGAACAGGCTGAAAACAAAGTGTTGTGGCAAGGTTTGGTTTGGGACTGGGTGTTTATGGAAGGAGTGGCCAGGAGGGAGCACTGCCAAAGACAGTCAGATGTAGCTCAATTACTGCAGTCACATATGTTCCCATTTGCCTTTGGGATCCCAGAATTACTTTTAACAGGGGTCAAAGGAAGGGAGAAATATGGAGGCATATATCTTTGCTTGACCTCTTTAGAATAAAGTTAAAAACATCAAATATATTGCCAGCCTCTGCTTCCCACCAGTGTGAGAAGAGCTCACCACAGCTCCCACAATAGACCATTGAGCCAAGGTGCCATGATTTCTCCTCCACAAAGGACTACTGCCTCTGAAACCATGAGCCAATAAATTCTTTGTCTCTAAGTGGCTTCTGTCAGGTGTTTTGCCATAGCAATGAGAAGAGCCACAAATCCCCAAACACAGAATAAGTGACCCCTTTTCTTTCCTGTACATGGCCAGTGGATGAGAAGGACCTTAGAAATACTCTCAAAGCTCCAGGTACTGCATTCATAATGATAATTAAAATGTCCAAATAGATTTTGTAGATATTGTATACATAATAATATGCATACATATATATATGTACACATATATATACATACATATATATATGTTCAAAGAACATATGTATCTGTTCTTTGTAGCTGTGGCTCTCCACATTATTTCAACCAGTTTCACAGAAACCAAATTTATGTGAAATGCATAATCTCTACGCAAGTGTTGTTTTAAAATTGACTCTATGATTCAGAGCTTGAAAAACACTGACGTCATTATTCCTTACTCACAGAGGTGATTGAGTGTTAACTATTGGATAGGGCAAGAAGCAGGCAGGGAAAGTTAATAGTTGTTCTGCCCTCAAAATGATGACAAGAAATGTTAGAAACATACCATTGTTATTATTATTAATGTTACCACCTTTGTGGTTGCTGCTTATTCTGCCTGAGCCCTTTCTGTTTGGGGACGTTCCTTCTGCCTGCATATAGATACATAGTTCTCAGTCCTTAGTGCAGAGCGAATAATTCAATGTGAATATGAGTTTGTGATATTTATTCCAAAACATGTCTGTCATTGTTCACTCCCTTTCTCACCCATCATTTCCCATATAATCCGTCAATGTCTCACCTTGCAAAAAACTTACCCTGCTTCAGGCTCTATCATGGACTGGCAAAAAGCAGAAAATTACCTCCCCCAGAAACAAAACCTTCAGCCTTGTTCATTCTTTCACTCTTATTAAGCAAAGGTATCGGTATATAGTTTGTGTATAAATGAAGATACACAAAGATACACAAATTCACAACTGGCGCATTTTGCTTATGGATAAATGCCTAACAGAAAGAAGACAAATTGTTTGCTCATTGCAGCCAATAAGATCATGTTGGAATAAACCTATTTCCTGAGTACAAATGTTGTGAAAAATGATGCAGAGAAATGTGCTGAGCCATCAGGTTGTGCTGGCCATTTATCATCCCAGACGCACACAGGCAAATGCACTCATCATCACAATGAGCAGCAAGCACCTGCGGTTCATCCTCTGTCTAGCTTTTAGCTTCCGAAAACTTAAATTTAATGTCAGATCACCAAGTTGGGGTTGTTTTGTTTTGTTTTATTTTGTTTCCTCTTGAATTAATTCATTGACTCTGTTCATGTTTTTAAAGACAAAAATGAATCTAGAAGAATTATTATTTAATATTCTAGAATTATCAGATACAGAAACTTCAAATGCTAAGGGTCACGGGATCCAGGACCTCTGAACACCTGAGACAGGCGAGAGGCAGCAGGGCCGGGAGTGGGGGTGCCAGAAACACCCCACCGCAATGGTGATTTGCACTGAGTGGGGACAGGGACACAGCACTGTTTTCTGTATTTCTGGTTCTGAGTCTCTGCCCCCTAGGCCCTGCACTTGGTCCTCTCTACTTCAGGCTGGAGAGCTTCTCTATACTAGAAATGAGGCAAACAAAGATTTGGGGGGGGGGATGGATGAAGGTAGCATTTTCCTGATTATCTAAGATCCTAGAGCCCCATACGGATTATTTGACAAGTTACATGAACTTGGCACTCCCAGGTTAGATCTGTGTAACATGAAGCACAATGGGGTGTCTCTAATTATCTGGCCCGATGGAAGTGGGTGCTGGTTGCCTCAGGCCTTATTTGAAAAGGTGTATGCCTAAGGGAGGAGGAAACAGAGAAAGTTTTCAAGCCAATCTTGAGAACAAATTCTTTTGTCCCTCCCCCACCCCCATGCTTTGACTCTGAGGAAGAAAGCTTCTTTTACCTGAAGAGATTAATGCTCTAGGCCTGAGTTTCCCTAAGAGATTGAGGATTCCTATGGAATGAATATTTTTATTGTTTTTTTCCAAAATACGTCCCTTGAAATCCCACCCCTATATGATGATGTTTAGAGAGAAAGCTTTTGTAAAATAATTAGATAAAGTTGTAAGAATGGGGCCTCTGTGATGAGATTTGGGGCCTAGAAGAGAAGTACAGAGTGAGTAACTACCCTCTCATTCTACCATGAGAAAACTTGGTGAGGAGATGGCCATATGCCAGCCAAAAAGAGAGTCCTCAACAGACACCCAATTACCTGCCTCTTGACCTTGGACTACCCTGGCTTCAGGACTCTGAACAATAAATGCCTGCTGTGTAAGTTCTGAGTCATTAGAATGTCTGTGGTAGCATCCCCAACTGATGGACACAGAAGTCCCAGCTGCCTGTCCTGAGTCCGTCTACTAGAAACTTATGTATTGGTTGTACGCACGTCAGTGAACTTTAAGCCAATGCATGTGGAGGATATCTTCCTTATGGGGCTGGCTTTGTGTCTCCTTTCCTTGTTCTACCCAACAATACTGGACACTAATACTCTAGACTTCGCGTGTTTTGACCTCTATGCTCTCCATATGCTAGGCTATTGTGCTATGTAGATCATCTTTTGAAAGGGATGCAGCATCCCTTTCCATGCTGTGTTAGTCAGCTTTCCATCATTATGATGAATTGCCTGACGTAAGATACCTATGAAGTTAAAAACCCTCTGCTCACACCTCAGAAGGTTCAAGTCCTAGGAGTTACGCCATGACTTTCAGCCTCAAGTGAAAGTGACACCTAATGGCGGGAACATGTATCAAAGCAAGTACTACTTCCTTCATTCCTATCTATCTATCTATCTATCTATCTATCTATCTATCTATCTATCTATCTATCCATCCATCATCTCTCTATCATCTATTTATCTATCTATCCATCCATCATCTCTCTATCATCTATTTATCTATCTATCCATCCATCATCTATCATTCCACCATCTATCACTCTATCAATCATATTTATCATCTATCTATCTATCTATCTATCTATCTATCTATCTATCTATCTATCCATCCATCCATTCATCTCCACCCTAGACTTTTTCATGTGGAGCTTTATGGGTCACTTATACAAACCATAGCACTCTTGTGTTGCCCTTGGTCAAGGTGGAATTCCCAGGATAGTCAATGTGCAGGTATAGCACTACTTTGTGGCACCCCAGAGAAATCTTGCATTACGGAGAAGGAAAAATTGGATACAGCAGGCAGCTGTTCAGCAAAGAGAACATGTTTCACTTTGCCTGAGCAATTCCTGTATCTAATTGGAGTGGGAAGGTGCGAGAATGGGTGAGGGAGACTCGTTTCTGACAGAAGCAGGGCTATTGCTATTGACCTCTTCCTCTAGCTGCCGTTGATTTCTAATTTAATTCTCTTTTTTTTCCCTTGAAACTTTCTGATTAGCATAGGAGGTTGTTATGGCTTGTGTTTGCATTTTTAAAAAAGCACTCAAATAATTTTCCCTATTGTGTATTGCATTTGCAATAAGGCTACTCTGAGATGATGGGATGCAAAGGTTGTAAGCTCTGCAGTTGAAAAGAAATGCAAAGAGCATTTTATGAACTATAAAGGAGCTTCAGAAAGGCTGAGTGAGGCCTGGTGCTTGTACTACAGTGTGCTGAGAGGGGTGACTTCTATCAAGGGCACTGGGAAAATCCCCAGGATATAGGGTCATAAGGCAGTTTCAAGAATCCTCTACTTCCTTTTCTACACCTAAGAAGGTCACCCCCAAGAAAAGCTAGATTGATTGATGTTGACAGGGACTTATTTGTGGTAGAAATGAAAGTAATAAACCTCAAAGATTGGGATCCATTCTGGATGTCACACTTTAAGAGGAACACTGACAAATTGGAGCATAAAGACAAGAAAGGAGCTAGCATCACATTAAAGGTAGGAAAGATGAAGGAAGGACAAGTATTTGGTACCTGGTAGAAAGAAAGAAGAGAAGGAAGAAGAGAAACCTGTTTACAAAATTTTCAAGCCACTAGATGAAGAGAAATGGGTTTTATGTTTATCCAGGAAGAAATTAGGATCACTGGTAAAACAGAAAAGTAGAAAGGTCATGCTGTTTCTGAAGTTAGAGCTACCTAATCATGTGTGAATAGCAAACATTTTTTATAATAATTTTTATTTTTTTATATTAATCAAAGGTCATTTACTTTGTATCCCAGCCATAGCCCCCTCCCTCATTCCCTTCCAATCCCACCATCCCTCCCTCATCTCCTCCCTACCCCTTTGCAAGTCCACTGATAGGGGAGGACCTCCTCCCTTTCCATCTGACCCTAGCTTATCAGGTCTCTTCAGGAATGGCTGCAATGTTCTCTTCTGTGGCCTATCAAGGCTGTTCCTCCCTCGGGGGAGGGGTGGTCAAAGAGCCATTGAGTTCATGTCAGAAATATTCCATGTTCCTCTAACTAGAGAACCCACTTGGAGGTACCATGGGCTATATCCGTAGGTTATATCCATACATGGTCCTTGGTTGGAGAAACAGTCTCATAAAAGACCCTGTGCCCTGATATATTTGGTCCTTGTGGGGCTCCTGTCTGCTCGAGGTCTTACTAACTCCTCCTTCTTTCATATGATTCCCTGCACTCTGTCAAAGTTTTGGTTATGAGTCTTAATATCTGCTTGGATACACTGCTAGGTAGAGTCTTTCAGAGGCCCTCTGTGGTAGGCTTTTAATAGTGGCTACAGAAACAGAGCTGCTGGGTGCAGTCTGGTGGTGCTGGGCATAGAAGAAGCAGAATTCTATTCACATTATTTCATAGGCTGAAGTAGTCTTTGGTCTCGAAGACTGGACCAAGTCTAAAACTCTTCAGGATCAATTAAAAGAACTGCAGCAACGGAGGCTAACAGTTCTTGGCAGTAACTGTTGGTAAAATCTGCAGGATGGAGTTGGAAAGACAAGACTTATGAAAAGGGATGTCTTTCACCATCATCTTTCAACACACTGAAGACGTTCAATTACCATTGATTGATTCCTGAAGTGGTAGTGTGGCAAAAATAATCTGGACTTGAATTCAGGAATAAGCCACCTTACATCAGACTTACAAGAGCAAACTAGTCTACTTTTTTGTTTGTTGTTGTTTTAACAGGGTTTCACTGTGTAGCCTTGGCTGTCCTGGGACTTGCTCTATACAGGCTGACCTCGAAGTCACAGAGGTCTGCCTGTTTCTGCCTCCCAAGTGCTGGGATTGAAGGTATGGCTACCACCACCTGGCACCAGTCTCATTCTTGTTCTTAAGGTCTCATATTCCTGCATCTACCTCAGTAAGGTGGTATAAAGGAGTTAATAGTAGAAGCGTTACTCACACCTACCCTGTTTTCACCATATCCCACAGAAATAGTCCACAGGAAGGAGCAACCTGTCAGATATTTTCAGTGGGATTAGATATGAGCTCATATATACATGAGCTCATATATATGATATATATGTATATATTTCTTAGCTCTTATATATAGGGATAGAGAAATAGGAAATTTAGAGAGATAAAGAATAGATAGGTAGGTAAATATGTATGTAGGGAGGTAGATAGATATATAGATAAACAGACAGACAGACAGATGATAGAACTACATTAGCTCTTCACTGCTTCCCTCCTTGTCCTGTTACTTACCGGAACATCCTCCTCTTGGGTCTCATTACTCCAGGACCATCCAAGTGAATCCAGACATTTTTCAGTGTTTCTTTTAAAGGATTAGTAAACTCAACAGTCACAACCATATCAGAGCCAAGCATGGCCGTGCCTCGGACCTATGAAACAAGTAGATGACAATACAGCTCATCAGCCACAGTACATCTCTGCTGCCATCTCCTTAGGTGTTTATCTCTTGTTGCTGAAGTCTTACAATGTGTTTACTCCTTGGTAACTTACCAGTGAGAGGAAGAAAGACTATTGCTTTGATTGGGGAGTATCTATTGAGGAAAAGATGTCCTAATTATAATCACACTCTTTCCCTCATTATAAAACTTCCTCTAATTAGAGCTGAGGTTAATAGCTGTGGCCACTGGCTGTTCTCTGTCAGCAGGAGGCAGGAGCATGTCCTGTGGAGCAACAGATTTCCAAAGTGAGGGCAGTCAAGCGAACTCATGAGGGATTCTAGCGGGCAAGACATGGGAAATACCGCACAGGCGTGTGCTTTCTTGTAGACGTTTTAGAAAGAGCCCTAAGGAGAGTCCTTGTTGAGGTTGAAGAAGAGGAACCTCCATGCTGAAATAGGTGCAGGAGGTTTCACCTATAGCCACATCTGATTCCAGGAGGGTAGACATTCAGAGAACAAGAGGGTATCTGTTGACCATTTCTTCAGAACAATCTCCCAGATTATCAGGTATCTGGCAGAGCATATGAGACAGAGCTTGATACTAGTGATGACAGTTACTTAGGTTACAGTCTTGGATGACTGAGTGAGTCATTAATTTTTCTCCACTTTACTAGATTTATTTATTGTATAAAATAACAGGCATTGTTATGCCATATTTGTATATACATATAATTTCCTTTGGTCACGACCTCAATTACCTTGCTTGCCATCCAGCCTTCACTTGCTGTTCACCTTCCTTTTCACAAATTATCTCCCTTCAATTTCATGCTTTTAAAAATATATAGATGTACAGCTTTTATTAAGCAAGGAGGAGGACCTTGGGTAAGATGATAAATCCTCATTCAGAAAGGCAAATAGGATAGACATTGGAAGAGGGAGAAAACAGGGAACAGGACAGGAGCGTACCACAGAGGGACTCTGAAAGACTCTATCCAGAAGGGTATTAAAGCAGATGCTGAGACTCATAGACAAACTTTGGGCAGAGTGCAGGGAATCTTATGAAAAAAGGGGGAGATAGAAAGACCTGGAGGGAGCAGGAGCTCCACAAGGAGAGCAACAGAACCAAAACATCTGGGCACAGAGGTCTTTTCTGAGTCTGATACTCCAACCAAGGACCATTCATGGAGATAATCTAGAACCCCTGCACAGATGTAGCAGCTCAGTTTCCAAGTGGGTTTTCTAGTAGGGGGAACAGGGACTGTCTCTGACATGAACTCAGTGGCTGGCTCTTTACCTCCTCTTGGGGGTGCAACCTTACCAGGCCACAGAGGAAGACAATGCAGCCAGGCCTGATAAGACCTGATAGGCTAGGGTCAGATGGAAGGGGAGGAGGACCTCCCCTATCAGTGGACTAGGGGAGGGGCGTGGGAGGAGAAGCAGGGCAGGATTGGGAGGGGACAAAGGAAGGGGTTTCAGCTGAGATACAAAGTGAATAAATTGTAATAAATTTAAAAACAAATAAAAAATCTAGATTCTTCATATGAATGAACACATGCAATATTTGTTTTCCTGAGTCTGGATTATTTCAGTAAGCATATTGATCTCCATTTCCATGCATCTTCTCTATGATAGAACAACACTGTTTTATAGTGTATACATATTATTTTCTTTATCTGCTCATCTGTTGATAGATATCTGGGCTGCTGATTCCACAGCTTTGCTGTTGCTATGGCATCTCTTTGGTCGTCTGACTCAAATTCCTTCAGGTACATATCCAGAAGTTGTATAGCTAAGCCACATGGTAATACTAATTGTAGGTCTCTGAGAAGCCTCCATATTGATTTTCTCAGTGGTAGCATCTTTATACATTTCTCTCAGTGGCATATAAGGGTTTTTTTTTTCCTTTATGTTCTCAACATTTGTTGTGTTCTTCATGATAGCTACTCTAACTGGGGTCAGACAGAATCTTAATGCAGTTTAAAAATTAAAATGTTTGTTGGGTTTATTTTTGGACAATTTTACACATGTATAATGTGTACTCTAATGACTTTAACTCCCTGCTTAATCTTTCTTCTGCTCTTACTGTGTTCCCTCCTCCCTGTAAGTTTCCTTCCCACATTCATAAATTTTTGCTCTTGTCTTTTTTCTCTTTGAGACCCTCAGAGTCAAACAGCTCATCTGTGTGACACAGGTTTGAAACTATCCACTGGAGCCTCATGATAGCAATTACTTGGGTACACAACTGAAGATAATGACAGCCCCTTCTATAAAAACCCACCAGAAGCCAGTAGTTCAGAGGAAGATGTGGAGCCCAGTGAGCAACTCTGTGATCCATGACTGATTTTTACTGATTAGCTACATCAATGATATGAAGTCATGACTGTATGGGCAATTCTATGTATGCCCAGAGATCATGGTTTCATAGCCCTTCTTCTTCTGGCTCTCATATTTTCCCTTCCCTTTTCCTTGATATTACTTGAGCCTTAGAAGGGTTGATGAATTTACAGCTGATATTTACAGATGAATTCTCATCTGTAACTTATTCTCAGCACCTTGAATACCCTGCATCTTTGTGATCACTACTGTTCATCGCCAAAAAGGATTCTCTGATCAAAGCTGGGGTAGTGTTTGTTCTGTATGGGCTGCTAGGGGTAGAAAAGGCATCCAGGTCTTTACTCAGCTGTGAAGCCTGTGGTCTACAGTACCAACCGCCCAGGCAAGATGCACCCAGTGATGCAATAATGGTGCACAGCTGCTGTTGTAGCAACCAACTACTCTGTGCCCGGATCTGAGGCTCAACCCTGCCATCAGAGAGGATACACACCTAAGCAGTGTAAACCCAATCGCAAAACCCATTGCTGAGACCGGAACTTAGGTGCTGTGAATGACCTTAATACTGTTGTTACGTTAAAGTGAAATGGTGCCAAGCTGCTCTTTAAATACTCATAATCACCAGTTTTGATTTTCGTTTCCTTGATTGCTGAAGTTGTTTTTTAAATATGGTAATTAGCTATTTATACTTCTTTTGAGAACTATAAATAGACTCAGTTTTGGCTCTAAAAGAGGGCTTATATCTGTATGTGATAATGTAGATAGAATGATACTATTATTCCCTATGTTGTTGTTTTCCAAGTGCCACATACTTAGAAGGCTTTTTCAATACAGAATCAGTGTATTAGAAAATGGTCAGGAAGCAATGAGGTTTCTTTTCCTGCTTATATACTGGAATGCCAAATAGATGGATCTGTATAAAGTCAAATTTATTTGAGAACAAGATGATGATGATGATGATGATGATGATGATAGTTTTCTCTTAATAACAACTGGATGGAAGGAGATGATGTACAAAAATAAACTTGACAGTCAAGCCTCTTAAAACATCAGTGTTGCTTTTGACTCAAATAACTATCCTGTGCCTAGCAAATAGTCAGTTAGGAGAATTGTTTTAAAGTGGCATTTACTGGTTGCATCAATATTCAATATAACAACCTGCCATTATTACAATTGTTTCTTTAGCTAGTGTACGCTATATGAAGATACACATAGATATGAGACATTTTATGAATGGAGATCAAGAGGAAGAACATTGCCTGCAGAAGAGGACCCTTGCTCACCAGTTTACAGCTAAGAATAAAAATCTTACAGTTTTGCTTTTCTGGTTTGTGACTAAATTCATGTCTATGGGATTTAAGGAATTCTATCAAAAATAAAACTTTCAGCCAATTCATCATGTTTATTTCATGCTCCAATTTCCTAGGATATGTTTAGGGGTACTAAATGCGGGGAAGGCTAATAATGATGGAGACAGCAGTAGGCATATCTCAGGCTGTGTAAGGGCTATGTGCTAGCAAGAGGTTGTTACTTTAACCAGTGGGAAGTTACAACTACAGAAGTCTCAGCCCACTCCAGATCATGGGGCTAGAATCCCAGATGGTACCCTGTAATTTGTTTATTTTGAGCACTCTGGCTCATTACTAAGAGGCAGATCCATTGAAAAGCACAGTTCATGAAAATTCTCACACAAGACTGCATTTCTGCCAGCTCTAAGACACACAGGAACAAGATGGTCATGCTATAATCATCCATTAAAGAGGAAAAGACAGAGGCAGCCCCTGCTCCCCTTACTCGGGAATCCCTCTGTCATAAACTCGATTGACTGCTCTTTGATCACCTGCCCCTGTTGTTGCAGCCTTGCCAGGCCACAGAGGAAGAGAATCCAGGCAGTCCTGATGAGAATTGATAAGCTATGGGGAGATGGCAGAGAAGTCCCCCTTTCAGTGGACTAGGGGAAGGGCATTAGGGGGGAGGAGGGAAAAAGAGTGGGACTGGGAGGAGTTGAGAGAGGGGGCTTTTATCAGGATATATATGAATAAATTGTAAGTAAGTAAGTAAGTAAATAAATAAATAAATAAATAAATAAATAAATAAATAAAAGAGGAAAAGACTTTCTGAAGTGGAATCTTTGATGTTGACATTTTCTTTTTTATGAAATAAGTATCTAACAAGGAAATTTGGAGCTATTGACCAGGATAAAATTCAAATTAAAGCATTTCTATGAAAGAGCATCAATTTAGAACTCAGGATACAAGCCAGGGTCATTAGAAGGTACAACAACCAAATAATATCCAAACAACCAAAGCTACTTTGTTCTGATGTCCACGGGCTCATCAGGAGCAAGGGAGATTTTCAAAGAGTCACGTTGATAAACTGAAAATAAATAAAGTTTAATGAGGAAGATATAGGCCAACTAATGAAAGCACTAACACCAATTCTCCTCAAACTATTCCATAAAATAGAAACAGAAGGAACACTACCAAACTCATTCTATGAAGCCACAGTCACTTTGATACCTAAACCACACAAAGATCCAACCAAAAAAGAGAACTTCAGACCTATCTCTCTTATGAACATTGATGCAAAAATACTCAATAAAATACTTGCAAACCGAATCCAAGAACACATCAAAGATATCATCCACCATGATCAAGTAGG